GGGGGGGGTTATACTAGGCTTTTCATACAGTTTTAGTTTGCCTGTTTCCAATCTCCTGAAGGCAGCAGCATAACCCTATGTACCTGAATTACTATCCTGTGCCCTTTTTTTTATTGTATTCCAAGAAAAAGGTTTTGCAGCAAGTAAAAAAACATATTACTTGGAATTCCATAATGAATAGAAATATTGGAGAGCTACATAACAAAAAAAAAAAGGAAAAAAAATTCCCTACATATTGCAGCTCGCACGCCACCATGGTTTTCTGCATGAAATAGAAATACTGTGTGTCCACATTTGTGATTTTCAAGGCCTGGCTGAAAATCTCGGCTTATACTCGAGTATATACGGTATTTTAAGCCAAGTCATTTATTTTGGAAGTATGTATTCTAATGTACATGTTCAAAATTGCCCTACTTTGATAGGTCCATGATACTTGCAATAATTCATCACAGGATATTTGTAATTTAAGCAACTGCTGTCTGTAATTGGTCTTTAGTTTTGTGCCTAGCGTCCTTCTCCTGCAGGTGGCGATATTACCCTACCATTCAGGATCTACGATCTGTTGCCTGTGTCCTTCAATGAACGGAGAGAAAAGGATTTTACGGTGAGTACAAAATCCTATTTTTTGTGTTTTTTTTTTCCCTCAATGTCTTCTTCTTAGGGGAGAGGCAACTATTCTTTACATTCGAACCTGTATAGTTAAGCACCTGGTCATATTTTGGAGGCTTACCTTCAAAAATTCAGTTGATAACCAAGAGCTGCATGATATTAAAACCTATATAGTTTAGTTTTAAAGTGCCACAAACCTTAAAATACAAACAGCATTTACTGCTGCAGTGCCCTTTAAGGAAATATGACAAAGATTTTCTGCCACAAATTCATCTAAAGTAAACTTATCACAAACCTGGGCAAGAAATTATGTACATTGAATAATTGCATGTATTTTTCAATATTTTAGCCTTGTTCTATAAATCAATGTTGTATTGAAGGCATATTTGTACATTAAGTATTACTTGTAAAGAAGTCCTTATACTTAATGTTGCATCTCTTTGGGAGCTTTGATTACATCAACCTTCAATTGCTCTTCAAATCTATGTTGTCCTTAATTTCTTTTTCCTTTTTATACTTAGCAAGAAAAACATAAGGAAACAACGGATGAAGATTCTGTTCAGTGCAGTCCTAGAGGCTCGGGAACCAGGCACTGGACGTCGCCTCTGTGATCTTTTCATGTTCAAACCATCCAAAAAGGACTATCCTGACTACTATAAAATTATTCTGGAGCCCATGGACTTAAAAACAGTTGAACAAAATATTCGTTCAGAGAAGTATGTAACCGAAGAAGCTTTGATGGATGACATGAAGTTAATGTTTCGGAATGCCTGGCACTATAATGAAGAAGGCTCACAGGTTGTACAGAATTATAATTTTTCAGAATCATATCTCCTGGTTTTTTTTTCCCTTGATAAATACAAAAAGACATCCTAAAGGTGCCCATACACCTATCGATTTTTGTTCGGGAATTTTCGTTGGTGCCAAGAACCCTCTTTCGAACACAGACCAATGTCATTTCGTTAAACGTTTGTTAGCAAGACTAGCTCTCCTCAATTTCTCCTCAAAAAACAACAATTTTTGTACGAAGATGCCACTAATCCATCGATTTTTTTCGTACGATTCGAAAAAGTTTTCCAGCCTCACCCTTTGAGAAAATTCGGACGATTTCCAAACAATAATCGATAGGTGTATTGGCACCTTAAGTGGTTTTATATAACAAGCTGTAGCATCTAAATGTAACACCCTATTGCATGTCCTATACACAGATGTACAGTAATCTGATCAGGTGCGATCATTAAAACCCCCATTTTTTGTGTGAATGCTATGCCAGTAATTAGGGATGCACTGAAATAGAATTTTGAGACCAAAACTGAAAATAAAATTTGTCAGGCCGAAACCAAAAATGAAATATTTCATTTAAAAAAAAAAATATTTTTATATAATTTAATTCTATATTTATTTTTATTTTTTTTACTTTACTGCTGGGGGCTCTGGGGAAATATCAAGGGTCTAAATGGACCCCTGATATTTCCCTTTTAAAGTGCTCAATCTCTTTTTCTGAAGCCCCTGTTGTGAATAAACAGGAATCCTCTATACTGAGTGTTCCTGTCCATTCATGCACCGTGGATATAGTATACTATGTCTAGTTATTTACAGACACTCAACAATCAGCTGATTGCTGGTGAGTGTATACTACTCTCCATCCTGAATAGGCTGTAAGAGGAGGCTGAGCAGGTGGTGGGGGAGGAGAGCTCCGCCTCCTGTGACAGATCACAGCATCTCCTACACTCCACTCTCCATCCTGACACGAGAGGCAGTACTGGGAGGTGCGGTAAGAAAGCTCTGCCTCCTGTAACAATGACAGCTGGCACCGCTCAGCATCCTGACTCCTGTCCCCGCGCGCTCAGCCTCCTGAAAGCTTCTCTCCTCCCCGCTGGGCTCCGTATTTTTGTGGTCATTTGCCAAAAGTGCCATTTTCGGCCGATAACGTTTCGACAACCTATTATTTAGGTTCATCCCTATCGGTTATAACTTATTCAGTCATATGCAATGGTTTCTCTGAATCTGCCTGCTAATAAATAGAAGTAATAATAACAATATTATGCCCTTATTCTTCTTGCTTTGGAAATATTGTTAATTGTGTTAATTTATTGCCGTGCAGGTTTATAATGATGCACACATACTAGATAAAATCCTTAAAGAAAAGAGGAAAGAGCTTGGTCCTGTGCCAGATGATGAGGACGTGGCCTCTCCAAAACTCAAGTTGAGTAAGTGAATAGTGCTTCATGTGTTTCATTCTCTTGTTTTCCCATTTTGTGTATATTAAACGTTAAAGTACATTGCTGTTTATCATTATATGGCCAATCTAAACTGAGCATGTATTCAATCCAAAGCTATACGCAGCTGAAATACTGAGCAAATCTTAATATTTTTCCTGTAATATTTGTTCTTGGTTCCACCACTCCTCACGTCAGAGCATTTTTTTTGCTCCATCAATTTCACGACCTCAATGACTAGGGAATTGGGTAACATTGCCAAACTAAACTTTCAGAGCAAAAGTCAATAATTGCATAAAACTTCTGTTCCCTATATCTTTGGCTCTATTGATTTGACATGTGATGTTCACTGAGCTTACGCTTTTGGCTTGTGTTTTTTTCTCGGCTTATGATTTGCCCCGGTTTTTGACAGATTTATTTTAACAGTTTTCATTTAGTGTGTTTTTCTATTTCATATGCTTTTCTAGTGGTTATTTTTATTGATTTTAAAGTGTGTTACAGCTTATTTCCTAGTAGCTGCAAATTTGTTTATAGCTTTTACAATGCCAAAACCTAACAGAAATTATTGTCTTTCCCTTATGCACTAAGGCACAAAGTAGGGGTATAATACCCATGGCTCTGCAGGAGGTTGGACACAGAAATATTTGCCCCATTCCTATGGGGTATACGATTTTACTGGGCTCTGGCTCCGCCATCTAAGGCCGGGTTCACATTTGTGGGCATGTATGGTAAAGCAAGTTGAGTTAACCTCCCTGGCGGTATGATTCTTTTAATTTTCGTTAATTTTTAGGCGCGATTTTTTTCGTTCCGTTTTTTTTTAAATTTCCCGCCGGTTCCGCCCCCGTGCGATGCGTATGCTCGCAAGGGACGGAACCCGGAAGACAGATGCCGGCACCGGCCGGAGGACACCGCACGGCTCGAGGGACAAGGTAAGTAAATACAGTGGGATATTCCCGAGTGTAGCTCAGGGTATGGAGAAGTAACCCCGAGCTACACTCGGGAATACCGCCAAGGAGGTTAAGGCAGCCTATTCATTTTGATTGGGCTGCCACTGCACCTGATTGTGGCAAAAAGTGTACCTGATCCTTTTTTGAGAATGCAACGCACTGCTTTGCAGATGCGTTGGGATGCTATTCCAAATGAGGTAGACACAGCGGACCTCTTGCATTACAATATTTTTTTATCTTTTAAAATTTGCAAATGTCACAAAAATGAAGACTAAAGATTTTCTCCACTGCTTTTTGACAAGGTTTGCCAATCCTTTTTTTGTAGCTTTCCTCCCCAGTGGTCATGTCTTATGGGTATTGACTGAAAGAATAGTCGCATTACAAACAATAGATTTTGGGCATCTCCGCAGTACTTCTAAGCTTATTTACTTTGTTGGATAGAGGGAGGAATGTGGCAGTCCTGGTGTACTTTCAGGTTTAAAGATCTCTGCTGAGGTAAATAGGACCCTTTGTACAGGCTGCTGCTTTGTGAAGGCCTGCAAAAAATTCAGATCACATTGGTAGGATATTTCCAAGCTGCCCAGTAAGTGGCTCTCCTGAAAGAAATGTAGTATATGCATAGGAAATAAATGGATGTCTGTTGAAGCATAAATAGAAAGACCTTGTTTTCTTTTCAAAGTTCAAAAATCTGTCTTCCTTCTAGGTAGAAAAAGTGGAATTTCTCCTAAGAAAGCCAAGTATTTGAGTCCTATGCAGCAAAAGCTGAACGAGGTATATGAAGCGGTGAAGAACTATACTGATAAACGTGGCAGACGCCTCAGCGCCATCTTTTTGCGGCTTCCATCCCGCTCTGAGCTCCCTGACTACTATTTAACCATCAAAAGGCCCATCGATATGGAAAAGATCAGGAGTCACATAATGGCCAATAAATACCAGGACATTGATGCTATGTGTGAGGACTTTGTGACCATGTTTAATAACGCATGCACTTATAATGAACCAGAGTCCTTAATTTACAAGGATGCGTTGGTCCTACATAAAGTATTGCTTGAAACCAGAAGAGACATTGAAGGAGACGAGGACTCTCATGTGCCCAATGTGACACTCCTTATCCAGGAGCTTATTCACAACCTTTTTGTGTCTATGATGAGTCATCAGGATGATGAAGGAAGGTGTTATAGTGACTCTCTTGCTGAAATTCCTGCCGTTGACCCCAGATTTCCTAAGCGCCCACCACTGACTTTTGAAATAATCCGAAAGAATGTAGAAAACAACCGGTATCGGCGGCTTGACTTGTTCCAGGAGCACATGTTTGAGGTACTGGAAAGAGCTCGACGGATGAATCGGTAGGTAACTTTAAGCAGCAGAATGACGCAAAATAGGTTAAATACTGAAAATCATGTATGGTATGTTAAAGTCCCTATATTGGTAACTTTGTATTTGTTTGTTTTTACATAACACCTCTCCCTGTATATTCAATCTTGTTTCTTTTTAACTTACCTGGTGCCTTGACCGCAAAAAAAAAAATATCTTTGCCTCCTATGGGTTAAAAAACTCTTCTCGGTGCCAGAGTTGGGGGGAAAGGATCCAAAATGTTTCTTTTTTTCTCACTGGGTATTGTTTCCTTAATATACCAGTTATTTTATAATATGTACTTTGACTTCTTTTATGAACATTTATTTATTTTGTACTTTTACCTATAGTCTTTAAATAGTCTCAGACATTTCAAATATCTCAGAATTATATAAGCCTAATCGAAAAGTTGCTAACAAGAGCAACCAGGCACTTCTCTTACTGTCTTACTGCGTTTGATAAAAACTGGTTGCTGGCAAACCACTGGCAACAGTGTTTATATTCATCTTGAAGTCCAGTTTGGGATTATAAGTCTCAAACTCTGGCAACTTCTCATTGGAAGTTGTGGTTTCCAACCTGATTGAAGAGTTGGATGATAATTTAATTGCAAAAAAGCCCACATGTAAAGCTGTGCTGACCTACTCAGAGATGTGTAAGTGTATTGGAGGTAAAGTAGGTTGGACCTGCACTGGCATATCGTCTGTTCCTTGTATATAGAGTTTAATTGCAGAATGATTTGTTATAGATTATAACTAAATGATAAGTAGTGGGGTCTCCTAGATCTGGGGTCTTAAAGGGGAATATTCCTTATACCCTTGCATATATGTATACTCGCTCCATGGCTTGAGCGCCAACAATCATCCCACGCTCAAAGGCTGTTAAATCGCGTTGTTTCTCCATATCTTCAGAAAAAAAATCACTGCTTCCCTATTTATAATGGTGTGTCCCTCTAGCAACTTCAGCGCAAAATTATAGCTAATTTGCCTACAAACATCAGGTGGTTATAATAATCTGGCCACTCAGTGCTTGTATATATATATCTATCTATATAGATAGATGTATATCTATATTATATAGATATATATAATTACTGATGCTTCTTGGTGTGGGAAAGGGGCTGGGGGTAGAGAGTGCCATCAGAACCAGGATTCCTGCCACATTTCCTATTCTGTCCTCTTTAAACATAATGCCTTTCTTTTTCTATAAGAACGGACTCTGAAATCTATGAGGATTCTGTGGAACTCCAGCAATTCTTTATAAAGATCAGAGATGAGCTTTGCAAGAATGGAGAAATCCTACTGTCACCTGCTTTGAGCTACACAACTAAACACCTCCACAATGATGTTGAAAAGGAGAAAAAGGAAAAGCTGCCAAAAGAATTTGAAGAGGACAAGGCCAAACGAGAAGAGGAAAAGAAAGGTATATCCATTACTATGATTCTTGATATCTGTTATTTATTGATCTTTTTATTACCTCTGGTGTGCACTGATTTTAAAGTGTAACCACTCAGCCAAAACTTTAGTTAAAACTTTTGTAGTGTGTTATTGCTGCCTAAGAAAAGTTGGGGACACCTTTGCTCACTTGATGTCCCAGTGATAATGTTACCATTGCAAAGCATAATGCATATCATATGGTCCTGACAAATGGTGAGTGCTGCAGTGACCTTAAACAGGTGGAGCCAAAGTCTAGAAGTCCATAGATACAAATATCTGGAATTGAGCCTTTAATTAGTCACATCAAATACTTGTGACATTTCAGAGCTCTCGTGCAGCTTCTTCCTCAGGCAACAGTGACAAGTTACCACGAAAACCAATGTGCTTTAAATAGTAAGACGATTTTAATCCCCCGTCAGTTTATTTTTTGCTCTCTGTGTCCTGTTGGGGAGATTCTCTTTCACTTCCTGTCCCAAAACTATAACGGAAAATATAACTAAATCTATGTGAAATGTGAGGAATTCCCATTTTACCCATTTGTCACCGGAATAGGTATCCCATTGGAATAGTTTTCCCCACATATTGTTCTGGGTGACAATTTCAAATTTTTTGATCCCCTATCATTTTCGGTCTCCGTGACAGTGGTCACCAGGACAAATAGAGAAGGTGAATCTACCCAGTAGGAACAAGATGGCAATAAAATCTTGACAGAGGCTCTAATCCATCCCAACTCTATCCAAAACTATAAAAAAAATAGCTATGCATACATTTTAAAAGTGTAGAGTTTTAACTAGGAGGTATTTCTTAGATTTAGCTTGTAACCTGTAAAAACAGACTTCTTAAATTTTAAAGGGAACCTGTCCCTATTAAAGTTTGTTGTCACTATATTATAAGTTAGCTAACAAAGTACTGTACTACTCATGAGGACAATGGAGGCCTTTTGGTGGCAGATACAAAAAAAAAAAACTACACCTTCCTTTTTTTTTCTTGAAAGAGAGTAATGGCACTGAGCCACCTAAGCTTTAGAAATGTAGTGGTCAAAATTTTCTATTCTTTGTCCATTTGTGTAATGCAATGGTAAGCACTATTACTGAAAGCTGTGTGGCCATTCATAGGCAGTCAGCAGCCTTAACTACACTATATTGTCAAAAGTATTGGGACGCCTGCCTCCTACACGCACATGAACTTTAATGGAATCCCAGTCTTAGTCCGTAGGGTTCATTATTGAGTAGGCCCACCCTTTGCCGCTTTAACAGCTTCAACTCTACTGGGAAGGCATCCACAAGGTTTAGGAGTGTGTCTATGGGAATGTTTGACCATTCTTCCAGAAGCGAATTTGTGAGATCAGGTACTGATGTTGCACGAGAAGGCCGGGCTCGCAGTCTCCGCTCTCATTCATCCCAAAGGTGTTCTATCGGGTTGAGGTCAGGACTCTGTGCAGTCCAGTCAAGTTCCTCCACCCCAAACTTTCTCATCCATTCTTTTATGGACCTTGCTTTGTGCACTGGTGCAGTCATGTTGGAACAGGAAGGGGCCATCCCCAAACTGTTCCCACAAAGTTGGGAGCATGAAATTGTCCAAAATGTCTTGGTATGCTGATGCCGTAAGAGTTCCCTTCACTGGAACTAAGTGGCCAAGCCTGACCCCTGATGAACAACCCTCCCCCCCACCCCTCCACCAAACTTTACACTTGGCACAATGCAGTCAGGCAAGTACAGTTCTCCTGGCAACTGCCAAACCCAGACACATCCATCGGATTGCCAGACAAAGAAGCGTGATTCATCACTCCAGAGAACAGGTCTCCACTTCTGGCTGAGTTGCTGTTATTCCCAGTTGCTTCCACTTTGTTATAATACTACTAACAGTTGACCGTGGAATATTTAGTAGCAAGGAAAATTCACGGAACACCTGAATCCAATGATTTGGAGGGGTGTCCCAATACTTTTGGCAATATAGTCTTAGTGCTAAAACATAAGCTGACTTTTTAATAACAACTAAAATAATATTTAAAATACAAATAATGATTATTCATATTTGCTGAATGTAGCTATATAAAATGGGAGCAGTTTAGGCGCTACCCACAGCCAGCATATTTGTAGTGGTTATAAGTTTGCCACGCAGACTGTGAAAGAGTAGGGAGAATGTACAAAGTCCAGGAAACCAGAGCAGCCAGTAAGATTTCAGGGTTTCTGATGTTCTGTAGTCTAGTCAGTAAGAAGATAATATCGCATTTATTATTATAGGATTATATGTTTTGGATATTTGTTGCCTTTCTGAAGTGACTAAGTCCAACAGATTTCATGCTGCATTTTGATGATGCATTTGCTTTAAGGAATAATCTGGACTTTGTTCATGGGCTCAGCACTAGTAGTGAACTCATGGCCTGCAGAAAGCTCTAGACAATGTGACTATGCCACCAGCAGGTAAGCAGGTGATCTCTAGAAATCACCGCAGGACAGCTGACAGTCTGCAAGCTTATGTAGTGTATGGTTTTGTATATATAGTTACCGTTGCCATTGGCCAGTTTACATTGTAGTATGACATTCAGAACGTTTTATTTTTAGATTTATTTATGTTTTGTTCTGTAGAGTTAAGCATGTACAGCCCTTGTCTTTACAACTATTGCATAAAGGAAAATGCTGCGGTGTAAAACCTTTTGTCTTTATGTTTTTTTTTGTATCTTTTTATAAATTAGAAGCTGAAAAAACTGAAGATCCTGGAGGAGTTTCTGGCCAGTCAGGGTTATACCGCACCTATAGTCAGGACTGCAGCTTTAAGAACAGCATGTATCATGTGGGAGACTATGTGTACGTGGAGCCCGCTGAGCCCAACCTGCAGCCACATATTGTTTGCATAGAACGTCTTTGGGAGGACAATGCTGGTGAGTTTTTTCATTTGGCTAAATACCCCTTAAAGAGTACCTGTCACATATGGGCTCATTCAAGAATCTAAACATTTAGTCTTAATGGATAAGCTTAGAGTATACACATACATAAACCAGGCTTTTATTGGCAATGTACAATTTAAAATAATCAGATATCCGATGTGGAAGTGACTGTACATTGACCAGGCAGCAATAAAGGTAACTATTGCAAAAGCCCTCATTATAGCCTAATAAACCACCACTATGATATACATAATCAGTTCACATCATAATTAATTATTTGAATTTTTTGTAGTGTTTGCACATAATGAAATGTCATGGCATGAAATTTCATTAAAGGAGAACTATGAGGTGAGTGAAAATCGCTCATCCTTATAGTTGGAGCCGACGTATGACAATGAAACTGTCACACATCGGCTCAATAAATCTGGAATTGAGCGAACACATACCGTCGCTTGCTCACTTCCCCATCCTCTCCCTGCAGAGAGCGGTGAGTGTCAGCGCTGACTGAAGGAACAGATGGGGAGGGGCGGGTACAGCTGGCTCTGCCTCTAGATAGGCAGAGCCAGCTGTCATTCACGCAGCTAGGTGGATCTCAACAGTAATGTCGGGATCTGTCCCGGCTGCAGCGATCTCAGTATACCGCGAGCTGAAGCTTGCCATAAACTGAGATTTGGGTCACGGGAGGACGCTAGTATATGTCCCCCCGGGACCCTAAATAGAACTATGGGGAAAAACACTTACTCCATAGTTCTCTTTTAGGCATGTTGCAAAGATAATTTATTTTGTTTGTGTTTGGGAGTGATCCTTGTCAGTTAACTGGAGTGTTTTCACGCTGTATCAATTGCTGAGAACTTATTGGAACCTTGGCCTTTTGCTTGCAGGTGAGAAATGGTTGTATGGCTGCTGGTTTTATCGGCCCAAGGAAACATTCCATCTCGCCACTAGGAAATTTTTGGAGAAGGAGGTTTTCAAGAGTGACTACTACAACAAAGTCCCAGTGAATAAAATACTTGGCAAATGTGTTGTCATGTTTGTAAAGGTATGGAAAGTCTTGTTTACCTATTATGTTCTTGCTCATCTAGCATAGGGCTATTTGATGATGAAGCTGGGAGCACTGAGACATATAGAAACCTGTAGGCTGTTGTTGCTGACCTCTTATTCTGATAATGCTTGTTCCCTGCCCAAAATGTCGATCTTCTGGCTTTAGACCTTTCTAGGTCACTGATCTTGAATAAGCATACAGTGCTGGATTGCTGACTTGCTACATATTTTTTTTCTTGCTAATCTTATTGCAGGAATATTTTAAATTATGTCCTGAAAACTTCAGAGATGAGGATGTGTATGTGTGCGAGTCTCGATATTCTGCCAAAACCAAATCCTTCAAAAAGATTAAGCTATGGACGATGCCCATCAGTTCAGTCCGGTTTAAGCCCCGAGATGTGCCTCTGCCTGTGGTGCGAGTGGCTTCTGTGTTTGCACTAAAGAATAAAGAAGAAGAAGAGCCACCAGCTGAGAGCACAGAGGAAATGAAAGAAGAGGAGGACAGTACTATCTGCTTGGAGAAGGTTTGTTTCTTATGCCATATCTGTTTACACATTTTGTCTTCTGTTAGTGTTTTTTATTCCTGTTTTAGTAAATACAATACAGGCAGTCCCCGAGTTACATACACCCGACTTACATCTGACTCCTACTTACAAACGGGGCAATTACTGTACAGCACGGGTAGTTGTAATGCTACCACGCTCGTTTCGACAAATGCCTGCCTTTTTGGGTCTGGATTGTAGTTGTGTACTTACATTGCAGGAAGTTGGCTCTTGTTAGACGTGCAGACAAATGGTGCCCACCTCTTCTTCCGGGTCAATGTGAGGTTTTTACTGCTGTCTGTATCCTTATTAGAAAGATTTAATCTCACTTCCTGTCCTTGAGACAACAGGAAGTGAAAGGAAATCCAACCCTAGGAAGGGAAATTCACTCCTGTAAGAGTGATCAGGGGAAAAAGGTGTCTCCATTGAAGCTTTATCACCAATCCTTGTTTCCACGGCAACCCAAATGTTTCTAAATCCAATTGTCACAGGGACGGAAAGTGAGGGGAAATCTTCTGAACAGGGGCACACACAGCAAAACAAACTTTACAGGGGGTTAACCCTTCCCTATGCTATCGAAAAACTAACAAAAACATTTTTGGCTGGAGTTGCACATAAAAAATGTATCTGTTCCAACTTACATACAAATTCAACTTAAGAACAAACCTACAGCCCCGGGGACTGCCTGTACATACCATCCTACAAGAAATATAGAGCAACAAACTTTTATTCGTGAGGTTTTTAAAACAAAATTTAAATATTGGCAAAAAGTTTAAACCTCTCAGGTTTTTACTGCTGCCTTTGTCCTTGTTTAGGAGATTTCCCTTGGACCTGGTCGCCAGGACAGAAAGTGAGCAGAATTTTACTTCCATGCATGCAGCAAAGAAAATACACAATAGAGTGGGGGAGGGCTAGCACTTTTTTTCATTTATGTAGTAAATCCCATTTTAATGTTTTTCTTGAAATAACAGTATAACAGAACTAGGTGGCCTGCAGGTATTGTTATTGTACTGGGATAAAAACATTTTTTTTTCTTTCTTGTTTTCTTTTTTTCTCAGGAAAAAGAAGACGTTCCAGTTGACATGCCTAATGGGGAACCTGGTTGCCATTACTATGAGCAGCTTCGTTACAATGACAAGTGGTTGAAAGTTGGGGACTGTGTGTTTATCAAGTCTCATGGTCTTGTTAGGCCAAGAGTGGGCAGGTAAGAACCTCTTAACCCTTGTAAAGATATTTGCAGATATTCATATAATGAATTGGGACTCTTATTGCATCTGTAATGTTCTTGATCGAGAAATATATTTTTTGTAAATACTTTTTTAATTATAAAAAAATATTTTTTGGTATATATTTCAATCACCATTAAATTATTCTTACATTAAATATTATTTTGCTCAGTACATCAAATTCCTTTTTACAGAGATATAAAAGTAATGATCTCTTTAATACAAACCAAGGGTCATCTAGACCTCCAAATATACATTTAGAGATACTTGAAAAACACATTTTTAAAAGTGAGTGATGTTCCTGATGGATTTCCTGGAAGTCCACTTCTATGTTAACTCTCCCAGCAGATCAAGAGGTAAATCCATCCACTGAGTCATTTTATTCTGAAGGGTATCAATCAGCGGGAGGATTGTTAGAAATATAGGTGGAGATCGGGAGGTAAACTCGGATACTCAAAGGGAAGTCCACTTCTATTTCCTACACTTGAACCTAGCATGACAACCACCTGCATAGCCCAATACACGTTGCTGGCATTTCTGCGTTGAATCCAGCCTTACATAGCCACAAGTTTTGGGTGTTCATCACTTTTTATCTTAGGAAGGCCTTTTACAGCAGTGATGTTGCTTGAAGAGAACCCCGACCATAAACAAATGAGATCAATATTCTCACTTATCACTATTTTCTCTGAAGAAGTGGACTTTGCTTTAGGAAATACATCAGTAACATAATTTGTTAGGACTTTTGGGGATCGATCAATTTTACAAGTATGTTTGAATGTAGATTTTGACGTCTATATGACACTTGGTTTGTAATATAAAATGCATTACTGTCCACCTTCTTTTCTATAGAGGATTTTAATATAAGGATGAGTCAGTGATTGATGCCAGAAGCATGGGCTTTTCAACAAAATGGGTATATATAGATATATATCTATATATATCTATATATAGCTCATTAGAGAACGTTATAGATGCCATTAAAGTACCAGTTTATTTTATGACTAGTTACCGTCAAATAATTCAGGAATTTGGGTATCTAAATCATAAAAAGTGGTGGGAAAGGACTTTCTAGGAGGAATTTGTTAAGTATTGGTCCATTTCCCTTTTTGTATCGTGAGAATAAGATTTTTTTTGGGGGGGAGGGAAGGGGGGGTTTATTTAGAAAATCTGTGAGGTGGCCCAAGAACCACAGTTTTAGAGCTTTGTCCTGCTAGATAAGCATATATTTCTTCTAAGAAGGGGTTTCTCCAGAGCCTTGTAATGGCATAGCCCATTTAACTGGTTTCATTCTATGTTGTGAAATTTAATGCTGTATCTCTGTAGTGACTCTTCAAACTTTGTGAACAATTTTATACTATAATTTTTTTTGATCAGGATAGAGAAAATGTGGCTTCGCGATGGAGCCGCCTATTTTTTTGGACCAATATTTATTCATCCTGAGGAGACAATCCATGAGCCAACTAAAATGTTCTACAAGAAGGAAGTATTCTTAAGTAACTTGGAAGAGACCTGCCCAATGGCCTGCATCTTAGGTATGTTTGTTTTCTTAACACACTTCCTTGTAGGAAGATCAAAAAATAGGATGGATTTTTTTTTCGGGAGTCCATTTAGGTTACACAAGTGTATATATATAGTCACATCGGAAATGAGAATTAAGAGAAACCACTGAACTCGCTGGAGCTGGTTATGATGTTTTAAACGAAAGTCTAGTATTTGCTTTAAATGGAGTCTAGTATTTGCTTTTTATACTGTAGCCAGTTTTTTTTCAGCCACCTGTGAAAACAGGTGCAAGTAAATAATGCACATGAACGGGTTGTTAGAGAATAACTTTTAATTTTGATTTTAGGTGGAGTGGGGAAGAATTGGAACATATGTCAGGTTTTTATTGTAGTTTGTGTCCCTGCCACTGAGGCAGAAGGCAAGGAGAACTTTTTAAAGGTTACAATTCATCACCCAATAGGAATATCTGTTCTCTTAAACATATTTTTCTCTTATTTTGGAGAGATTTTTAAAAATCTCATTTCATTTTATTTTCCCAGGCCAAGCAGTATACAGAAAATTTTTCAATGGACCTTCTCCTGTTAAACTAGAAATATGCTTTGGATAGGAGTTACTTACCAAAACACATTCATAGTAAAATGGAGAACCTTTAGAACCGGGGTGGACAACCTTGGCACGCAAGCTGTGATGAGACTACAAATTCCATCATGCTTCTGCCTCTGGGAGTCATGTTTGTGGCTGTCAGGATTTTGCAATGCCTCATGGGATTTGTAGTTCCACAACAGCTGGAGTGCCAAGGTTGTCCACCCCTGCTTTAGAACGTCTGACAATGTTTTTATTGCTCTCTGTGTCTCCCCGTGTGATACCTGCAACTCACCATTTATTTTAAAGGAGTCACAGGGCTGGGGAAAAAAAGAGAAAGTCTAAGGCTGGCCATACACTGCTCTATTTTTCTTGTTCAACCTGTGGGCTGAACGGAAAAAAAAAATGTTTGTAGATTCCTCCATCAACGATACGAATGCCTTTTGTATTATGACAGTGGCCGCCGGCCCCTGTCGGTAAACCCAGCAGCTCACTGGCTGCCAGGTTTGTTCATTCCAACATTCGCTGTCCGCTCAGCTGATCGAGGTATGCTGGCCAAAGGCTGCCGACAGTGGCACCCACTGTGCAAAATTCGGCCAGTTGCTCAAGAACCGGCTGAAATTTGCACAGTGTATGAACACCTTTAAAAAGTGAGACCAATACATCCAATTTTTATGCAAAACTAAAATAAATTACCAGTGTTGGGCTTTAAACTTTGGAAATGGAGAAGCAATCTGCAGTAATATGCAGTTTCCAAGAGAAAAATGAAGGTAAAGAACTAAAAATATATTCTTGTTAATAAATTCTAAACTGTTTATAGAAATATATTCACCAAACAATTGTGTTTAGAACTAGTGTTATATAGTGGAAGCAATTTAACCTTGTCGCTCCATTGTAAAATGGTTTCTTTTGATTATGTTGACCATCTGCTGTGAGTAAAGCTGCAATGCCATGTGCTTTGAAGTAAGACAATTTCGACTGATCTCTGTACCACTGGTGATGTGTCTTGCAGGAAAGTGTGCAGTGTTATCATTCAAGGATTTTCTGTCTTGTCGCCCTACCGAAATCCCTGAAAATGATGTATTGCTTTGTGAAAGTCGGTATAATGAGAGCGACAAGCAAATGAAGAGGTTTAAAGGACTAAAAAGATTTTCATTGTCTGCAAAGGTTGTGGATGATGAAATATATTATTTCAGGTAAAAGAAAATAGGACTATTGTAACATATTATTCATTATGCTATTTGCCCGTATTTATTCTTTTAGGGTGTTGTTCATTCTGTTCTGACAAAAATATTGAGGCTGCAACTACTGACCATCTAAAAATACTGGTTGCCTGTCTCAATACTTTGAGCTACTTACCTGGAAAAGCAATGCATTTAGTCAAGAAAAAAATGCTGACCTCCTGATTTGCCAAACAAGAAATCATGGAGTTGTGCTTTAAAGTTCCAAACACATTGCTTCAAACATTGCTAAAAGCAAATCTACTTTCTCAAGGCATGGATAAAAACAAAATTGTCTTTCATAGACTTCAAAGTCACTTTAGGGGAAGCTGTGATCTCTCTAAATGAAACCTTATACAGAGCCATGCAAAGCAAATTGTGTCTGTGTCCGCCAGACAACAAGTATTTCAAAAAGGGAAGCTGACAATGGCAGTCTACATATTTTCTAAGTAATTGTCTCCTTTAAAGTTAGCCAGTAATTAATACTGAATAAATAAATTACTCACACATCAAGGTCATTACTTACAAATCCCAGGTCACCATTGCGTCCTGTTGCCTCCTCCGCCGCCGCATCAGTTCTGTCCCCCCTCCCCTCTGTTCTCCTTGCCACTTGGAGTCTTCTGCATGCTGCAGTCTGTGTCCCCTTCTATCCCTGCCTGTATCAGCAGAGACAGTGGGGATCGGGGGGATACACAGACCGTTGCAGCTGATGCCTAGCGGTGAGGAGAGACCGCTGTCAGCCGCTGTGCCTCCCACCCTTCCGCTGGATGGGAGACTTGTTGCTGGCAGTACAAAGCTGGCAACAAGTCTCCCATTCAGCAGCCGGGAGAAATAGCCAGCCTGCTATTGGCTTTTTAAAATTGCAATAGCCAATAGCAGGCTGGCTATTGCACCGCCTGCCGTCAGAACTTTCAGAGGGTCTCTGCTCTGCTGATTGACAGCAGGCAGGGGATAGGTGCAATAGCCAATAGCAGGCTGGCTTTTGCTCCCAACCACTGCCTGCTGTGTTTACATTCAGCCCCCCATGTGATGTGATGGCAGTGAAGTGGGAAAAAAAGTTACATTTAAAATGCAAAAAAATGAATGTCCAAAAAAACGCGCACATACTAATGGAAAGACAAGACAAAAGAAAACGATGATTGCGCTACTCATGTTCGGTATCAGACTGTAACATTGTAAATTGTAGCAAGACGGGGGGCTGATCTGTCTCGGATATTTGTAAACACCACTGAGAGTTGCACAGGCACCAGAATTTACATGATTTTGTTGTCTCTGAACTGGTATCTCAACCAGGAACTTGGAAATTAACTAAAAAAAGATGGCACCTTCCTTCTATGGAGAAAAGCAGATGAATGCATTGTCAGGGGAAGTACTGCGATCTTTGTGAGCATTATTAAGTACCTAGATGTATTATGTTTATTTCTTTTGTTAAGTGCATGCATGCTAAGTAATGTGTAAGTCTGCTTGATGACTAATGTATTTTAATGTCATGTTTACTGTTTCCATCCTAGTTGGCAAAATGAAACCACCATTAACAAAATATGTCTTCTAATTAGTGATTTCATTTTTGCAGAAAACCTATTGTGCCTCAGAAAGAACCATCTCCCCTCCTGGAAAAGAAGATCCAGGACTTAGAGGCCAAGTTTGCTGAGTTGGAGGGAGGTGATGAAGAGATTGAAGATATGGGAGAAGAGGAGGGTGAGATCTTGGAGACTCCATCTCTCCCACAGCTCCAAACACCCTTGACTGGTGAATTGGATATCATGCCATACACTCCCCCACAGGTAAAAGAAAGCTATATAAGGGGATCCTTTGCTGATAAAATATAAAGCTTGTTAGAAGATAGATTCTTCTAAGCAATAGCCAGATGGAGTTAAATTCCAGCCCAGATTTACCATGTGTTTGTTCTCCAGGATCTAAAAGTGGACTTTACATTTTGTAAAGGAAGTGATATGGTTCTATGTTTTGTGCCCCCTGTTTATTCATTGTGCAGGTAATTGATTGTGTTTTTGTCTGCTGCTCTCGCGCTGAAAATGGACAAAGTATAGGATCTTGGCTATGCAATTTACTGTAGGTCGGCAAGATGTATCCATGCTATTTATTACCAGCTTGACTTGAAAAATGTATCTTGGCTACAGCAGATAATGTAGCCCATTAATTCTTTAATATGTGCCCATCTGTGATACCAGCTACCTCCTGCTATGTGCTTGTTTATCTCCAGCACCTCACTCACTAACATGTACTTTTGCTGCTAGAGCAAACTAAATGTGTGACCCTTTGTGTGTTTATATCACAATAACCAGTCCAAATTGTTTTTATAACTTGTTTATTATTGGATAATACAGCCTCACACTACAGTTCGTATTACAATTTTAAAAACGAGAAAAGGACCCTTTGAATCCAAAACAAAAAGCCATTCAGTTGGTTGAGGGAGTCTATAAAGCCTACATTGATTGGAATGATGACATCTCACATATTCTTTAATATATACAATGGGTATAAGACTTCCTTCTTCTCTGTCTTGTTGTTGGCTTTTAAAACACAGACGAATAAGAAAATAGAATAATATTTTGCCTAGACACTTTTCATATTGGTCACATCAGTAGAATATGTGACAAGTTTGTCATAAGACCTTTTGTGGGCATGGGTGCTTCTTCTTATTCTTCTGTTCTGCTTCCAGAGACATGGAGCTGGCAAGCTGTGAAGGTGTCATTGATATCATCTGTGCCGTGCTCTTGATTTGACCTTTTTCTTTACAAATCAAGCCTTGGCAAGACAAGAATACAACACGTCCTACTTTTCTCTGACTCTTTTTAGACCACTATTGTTCAGTAATTTTCATGTACATGGGCTTTATTAATATTTGGAAATGAGTGATCTTCCTACTAGTCTCCACCTCGGCAGAAATCTGGCCCCCATCTCTGAACATAGAATAGGTGAGTCACTAAGAGGTGACCGGTCACTTACACATCCTTCAGAGTGGTATTGTGAGGACAGTGTATACTGTACTTCACTAGACTAGTCTTAAAGTTAAGCATGGTTGTTTTCATCGCCACCACTGCAGGTAATATTTCTCCTGCCTTAAATTCAGAAACAATTACTGTTACTACAGAATTTCTGGAAAATAATAAACTAAATTAAATAAACTTTTTTAAAGTGTTACCACTTTTGTATAGCTTTTATGAAAAGGTAGTGCACCCCAAAGTATGAAGTGCCATAACAATAACTATAACACTAAATTACATTGAACTAGTCAAGAATATATGAAGTACATGCGGAAATTTCTGCCATTTTTTTAAATAAACCTGAATTCTGAGAGGGCTGTCCATAAATACACTGCTCAAATAGAACATGAACGCATACAAATAAATATGGGAGCTCTAAGACCTTAAATCGTATCCTTGCTTCATTACTTTGGGGCATATTTATAACATGGTGAATCTGACATTCACCACTCCCTGCAAGTGACTCTTCAAGGTGCATGATTTAAATGACAATGATTGACTTACCACCAGTGAAATGTATGGTGTAAATCACATTTACTGCGATATTAATATGGCACTTAGTGTTTCACTGAACTGGAACAGTCTGTTATTTGCAGTATGCTCTAGACGTGTATATTCTGTGTTTGCAAAGGCTAGGTTTAATTGTCTCGCGCATTAATATTTGAACAAAATGAAGAAATGCTACGCCTAAAATAAATTTGATCTTTCTTATAACATAGGCACAAATTGCCGTTAATAAGCATTAAGGCTTTTCCATTTTCTGTGTGATGCAGCATGCTTTCTGCTCATCTTATAGCCTTATAAGTCAGGATCCATGTTTAATGTAGAATCGACTTCAATATATGGAGGCTTTGCCGCTTGGACAGAATAAAGTAAAGCAGCAATACCACGTATATATGCTGTCTCATAGCTCGTGACATTCCTGTCAGAACTAAGAGTTTTTGTTTTTGTTTTTTTTCTAATTTACCAAATGCAAAACAACGTTGAACCAGAAAAGTTTTGTTTTTTCATTTTTGTTAATCCTTTGCAATTGGTATTTTAAAACACTAAATCAGGCCGCCGCCGCGCTTTCAAGTTCCCCCCGATGCAACGACGACCTGACGGCTGAGGTCAGGCTGCCCTCCCCTTCCTCATTGACGCAAAAGGGGAACGTAGCAGAGGCAAAGCCCATTGAAACACCCAGTGACAGACAAACGCAAGATGGCAACCCGGGGGAGACAGTGGACAGCAAATTGCCCAAACAGTTATTAGACAACGGAAAGGTAAATTTGAAGAGCCAAGTTCAGGCGTGCTGTTATTTTTCAATATCAAGTATATTTTTTCCATACCTAGTGGGATAGTTATCTCTTCTTTCTGGGGTGGGAGGGTGAATGGCGTGGTATTGCTGCTTTGACGTGGCTGGGCTTGCGTATCTGCTGAGTGTCTTCCTAGCTTTTTTTTTTTTCCCTTGTATGTTTCATTGCCTAGATCTCATCTAACATAGAACCATACCAAAGCTGTCCACTCTCTAACACTGGATAGTGTAAGAATCCTGGTGTATACCACCAGAACGATTGTTTTTCAACTGGGTTCCAATAACTGTAATCTATTGTTTCCAAACAAGGGTTTACCCTAACCACTTCTGAAAAAGAATTATTTAACATTTACGTTCCTTTTAGTCAACGCCAAAGTCTGGCAAGAGCAGCACCAAGAAAGAAGGAGGGAAGAGGAAGATTAACATGAGCGGTTACATCCTTTTCAGTAGTGAAATGAGGGCTGTGATTAAAGCTCAGCATCCAGACTACTCGTTTGGTGAACTCAGTCGTTTGGTAGGAACGGAGTGGCGGAATCTGGAGGCCACAAAGAAAGCCGATTATGAAGGTAGACAATCAATGTGTCTTGTCATTTGCTCTTTAGATATCTTACTGTATAACCTACAGACATTGATTTGAACTAAACCTTTCCCAAGAGAAACATTTAGGCTGCCATTCCTGACCACCTAAAAATGCTAGTCAGCATTTATGTGGCTGCCTTCAGTACTTTAAATTACTGAACAAATATGTAGGAAGTCCTTATGTGCAGGGTCAATAATTTAATATGCAAACCCTCTAGCTTCAATATGACAACCTGGCAACTAGCATTTGCAGAATGAGAAGTTTGTAATTGCAGCCTCTATTTTAATCCAATGAATGCACTTATGTACAGTGGTACCTCGGTTCACGAACTTAAAGAGAATTATGAGGCGAGTGATTTTCACTCAACCTCATAATCTGAACCGACCTGTGACAATGAAACTGTCACAGGTCGGCTCAGTAGATCGGGAAGTGAGCGCACACATACCGGCACTCGCTCACTTCTCAATCTATCTGTGCAGAGAGCCGTGACTGTCACTCACGGCGCCCTACAGGGATTGCCCCCCCTCCCCTGTCCGATCCTCCAGCGCTGACTGGCGGAACGGACAGGGGAGGGGGCGGGTACAGCTGGCTCTGCCTCTTGATAGGCAGAGCCAGCTGCCACTCACGCAGCTGGGTGGATCCAGACAGAATTGTCGGGATCCGTTCCGGCTGCGGCGTCTCAGTATACCACGAGCGGAGGACCCTGACTCCATAGTTCTCCTTTAATTCGTTCCACGATTCTAGTCGGGAACTGAATGAAACTGATCAGACCGAGGAAGCCACGACCATGTGTCAGAGCAGAGAAGATGGCTGTGGTTGTGTTCGTCACCCGATGCGGATACGTGTGAACGGAAGCAAAATTTTGCCGAACTTCCTGTTCGCTAACAGAAGCGTTCGTGAACCGATGTGCCACTGTATTCAGAAAATAGATTTTTATTTTTTTTGCAGATAAATCGAGTACTTGAATCTGGCCTGGTATTGGTCTCTTGTAATCCCCTGTGTAGTATAAATAAGACTGGGAGATGCAGGGGCAGAAGTAGGAGCCTGTCAGTGTGCTGCTTGAACATCCGTTAGTGGATGTGAAATGAAAAAAAGTGAAGATTTGCTATGTTATAGGGAACAAATAGAAACGTTAATTATGCCTAAGTAGTACCCTGAATATTCTACCTTTTTGTCTGAAAATATATACTGAAAATAAGCAGTGCACTTCCTGGCATGGACCTAGGCACTGCTGTGCTTACATCATCTTAGTTGTATATCTGAAGTGTAAGATTCAAGATACAGCTGCCTTTGACGGCTAGTCTCGGGTGATTTGGAGTGAGATTCCATGATGACACTACTGTGTTGCTTACTGTTCCCTTTGCTGAAGGCTCTGACATGAAGAAACAAATCCCTGCCTTTACCAGCATGTCTGCCTCCATACAGAGACACTGCAGATCAAGAGATAGTAACAAGACAAACTAGTCGGTAATGGGGAAGACCATAGGTAGAAGTGTGGACTAGTCCTTTGCCTTCTGCTTTCTTTTTTGGCACCGCTTCCAGAGTTCAGTTATGGTTTTAGAAACATGCTGACAGGAGGACAGAGCAGGTGAATGATCTCCAAGTCTGATTCTGCCTTGGGGACAGGAGGTTGGCTAAGCAGTATTGCTTAACTTCAGTAGAGAAAAGGTCTGACTGGATTTGTAAAGATAAATCCTTTGACAAGTAAACCGCTTTCATATACAGGTGAAACTCGAATAATTAGGATATCGTGCAAAGTTCATTTATTTCACTAATGCAACTTAAAAGGTGAAACTAATATATGAGATAGGCTCATTACATGCAAAGCAAGATAATTCAAGCCGTGATTTGTCATCATTGTGATGATTATGGCTTACAGCTCATGAAAACCCCAAATCCACAATCTCAGAAAATTAGAATATTACATGCAATCAATAAAACAAGGATTGTACATAGAACAATATCGGACCTCTGAAAAGTATAAGCATGCATATGTACTCAGTACTTGGTTTGGGCCCCTTTTGCAGCAATTACTGCCTCAATGCGGCGTGGCATGGAAGCTATCAGCCTGTGGCACTGCTGAGGTGTTATGGAAGACCAGGATGCTTCAATAGCGGCCTTCAGCTCTTCTGCATTGTTCGGTCTCATGTCTCATCTTTCTCTTGGCAATGCCCCATAGATTCTATATGGGGTTCAGGTCAGGCGAGTTTGCTGGCCAAAATAAGCACAGTAATCCCATGGTCATTGAACCAGGTTTTGGTGCTTTTGGCAGTGTGGACAGGTGCCAAGTCCTGCTGGAAAATGAAGTCAGCATCCCCATAGAGCTCGTCTGCGGAAGGAAGCATGAAGTGCTCCAAAATCTCCTGGTAGACGGCTGCGTTGACCCTGGACTTAATGAAGCACAGTGGACCAACACCAGCAGATGACATGGCTCCCCAAATCAACACAGACTGTGGAAACTTCACACTGGACTTCAAGCATCTTGCAGTGTGTGCCTCTCCATTCTTCCGCCATACTCTGGGTCCTTGGTTTCCAAATGAGATGCAAAATTTGCTCTCAACAGAAAAGAGGACTTTGGACCACTGAGCAACAGACCAGGTCTGTTTTTCTTTAGCCCAGGTAAGACCCTTCTGATGTTGTTTGTTGTTCAGGAGTGGCTTGACAAGAGGAATATGATATTTGAAGCCCCCAATGTAGTCCCTAATACTTTTGAATGGCCTTTTCCTGACAATCCTCTCCAGGCTGCGGTCATCCCTGCTGCTTGTGCACCATTTTCTTCCACACTTTTCCCTTCCACATAACTTTCTATTAATGTGCTTTGATACAGCACTTTGGGAACATCCAACTTTTTTTGCAATTACCTTTTTGAGGCTTTCCCTCCTTGTGGAGGGTGTCAATGATGGTTTACTGCACAACTGTTAGGTCAGCAGTCTTTCCCATGATTGTGATTCCTACTGAACCAGACTGAGAGACCATTTAAAGGCTCAGGAACCCACTGCAGGTGTTATGGCTTAATTAGCTGATTAGAGTGGGACACTTTGAGCCTAGAATATCGCACCTTTTCACAATATTCTCATTTTCTGAGATTGTGGATTTGGGGTTTTCATGAGCTGTAAGCCATAATCATCACACTTATGACAAATCATGGCTTGAACTATCTTGCTTTGCATGTAATGAGTCTATCTCATATATTAGTTTCACCTTTTTTAGTTGCATTAGTGAAATAAATGAACTTTTGCACAATATTCTAATTATTCGAGTTTCACCTGTATGTAACTCAACTGTTTCCTTAGCAGTTTGAAGTTTAGCTTTAGGCTTTCTGGTTTTTGTTTTATTATTATTATTATTATTCAGGGCATACAGTACATGGTCCATCAAATAAAACTGTCTGTATATAATAAGATCTTTCATCTTCCAAATAAGATCCTTGAAGGTACTATAAAGTCAGTTTGCACAAACACTAGAACGTGGTGAGATATATGCAGCAAACTGTAAACTTTGCTTATTTGGTGTTTTATCACCATGCACCAATGGATCATTGGTTGTGTGCATTGTCGGGTCTTTTCTGTCCGTGCGTACCCGCTAGGGGGCGCGCGCGAGCAGAAAAAAATTGCTGTCTGGAGACGGCAACCCGCAGATGCAGCAGTGCCGTCCGTCCGTTTTTCTACTACGGGCGGACGGCAAGAGGTTAAGGGCAAAAGTCGCCAACCCCCCCCTCCCCCGCCCATCCCACAGTGCTAATGTAAGGACTTCCCATAAATGATACCTCTTAATCCGATAATCATCTTCTTTCCTGTAGTTTTTAGCTATTCCTGGTGCGGGTCTCCGATTCAGTGATGACTCCTCTCTCCTCCTCTTCTCTTATGTCCTACGGAGTCTGTGCGAGTGCACGCTGCTCCATAGACTTACCGTGTCTCTCCTCATCTCCCGGCCGAACATCTGAACTGCGCATCCACCCCAAGATCCTTTGTGAGCGCCCGAGAAATTTTCAGGTGTTCGGACAGGAGCGCGCGGTGGAGAGACAGGTATTAACCCTTTGAATTTTTTTTTAATTTTTTTTATCGTTTTGCACATAGCTACTGCTTGCTAGCAATATATATATGCAAAAACATGCAAGGGTTTAATAACCCTTTAAGTTTTTCTAGCCCTTAGATCTTTATATTTTTGATGCTAATCTACAGACATCTTCTCTTGTGTTATATCGTTTGGGTAAATGTGTACCAAAATTGTTCCACTATGCAGTGATGGGGCTTATTAACAGTCTGTTATGCCTCACAGCTGCCACTTACAAAGCAACCAATTAGATTCTTGTATATGCTGCATAAAAATCGGACAATTAAAGTGTTACACTATATGTATTTTATCTATTTGTATAGCATATCTACTGTTGCAGTGTATACATTGGATCCCATTTTGTTTTCAGCCACATAACATATATTATTGTGACTGGCTTGAAATTTGTGAATATTCCTTATTTTTCCCAGAACGTGCTGCCAAAGTGGCAGAGCAACAGGAAAGAGAGAGATTAGCACAGCAACAACAACAGCAACAGCAGCAACAACAGAACTCTTCTCCCAGAGCCGGGACACCTGTTGGAGCCCTCATGGGTGTTGTGCCTCCGCCAACTCCAATGGGAATGCTTAACCAGCAGATGACACCCAATTCAGGTAACAAAAGCAGTCATGAAATGATGTATGTAGATGTCCACTGTGCATGTTTGGCATACAGGAGAGTACACGGATCATGAGACTTTAGCTCATCAGTTCTGTAGATTTTTTGCAACGTTAAGTAAGATTTGTTATGCGATACCACTGAATCTTTCGATAGTTTAATGGCTACTATCTCATCTTCATTTAGCCTAGGAATGTCATTACTGTCTGCATAAGTTTAGTGCATACAGTTTATGAAACAATGTACATCATGCTGGAGATTGTTTCTTATTGGTAATATACGCTTGTATGCTTTCACAAATCCAGTCAAAGCTGT